ATGCGGGAAGACGCCCCGGGCACGCGCCAAGGCCTGGGAGATTTGGCAGCTTTGGCAGCTTGGGGTCCGGGCCCATCCAGGACCCTTCAGAACTGAGGACTGAGGCTTAACGGATCAGGCAAAGGACCTGAGGGCACGCCCACTCCGTGCCCAGCGGCATTGTGGCGGATATTTTCCGATCTCTCTCTCTCTCTCTCTCTCTTTCTATATATATGTATGTATGTAAACATGTTTCTTTTTATATATGTATATATAGATATGTATGTATATGCATATAGACACATAGTACACACATACACACACGGCCAGACCTAGCACATCCATGTACGTGTACGTGTGTATATATATAGAGTACTATCATACGCACCTCTCCAATGGAGTAGAGTTCAGAGGCGATGAGTTGAATCCGCCCGCGTTGTTTTATGTTGTTTTCTGGCCGTTTCGCCCGGAGCATCCCCAGACTTTTTTACATATTACGCGTCCCTCGCGCAGATCGCGACGTCAGGTTTAAAATCACAATGGCATTTCGTTACACCAACAGACAATCTTCATGATACCGGAGAAAAATCCAATCCGATTTTTGTTGAGGCAATGGGGCTATATGGGCTATATGGCCATAGGGGTATAGTTATATAGGGCTATTGGGCTATAGGGCTATAGGGGCTATAGAACCTTAGGGCTATAGAGCTATAGGGCTATATGGCTATAGGGCTCTAGAGCTATAGGGCTCTAGGGCTCTAGGGCTATAGGGCCATAGTGCTATACGGCTGTAGGGCTATAGGGCTATATAGGGCTATAGGGCTACTGGGCTATTGGGTTATTGGGCACCCCCGGGCACCCCCGGGCACCCGGGCACCCGGGCACCCGGGCCCGGCGACCGAAATCGGCCTCGCACCTCATTGGCCACCCGGGCAGCCGGGCACCGCCGGGCACCCGGGCACCCGGGCACCCGGGCCCGGCCACCGAAATCGGCGACAAACCTCACCTAACCCTTTAATCCGCTAGGACCCCTACAGAGGCAAGATCTGATTGGGAAAATTTCAAAATGAAACGCGATGATGTTGCACATGACTGTTGGCAACCATGGGTGTTTCAACGGCTTCCTGCGCAGTCCTTCGACATTGTGAAAGAAAGCCCTCAAAACACACCATGGATTCAAGTGATGTTGCTTATAGCTGCTGGGAAAACTTCTTTTTCGGGTTACCAAAAATACTTGAGCAGGCCGAAAGATTTTCCTCTTAAGGCCCAGATGACAAATGCGAAGTGTCGTTGACTTTAGCGGATGCGGACGCAGCGATCATATCGCGCTCGCGTCGAGGTGGGGTGCGGCATATGTTATGGGAGGCTGCGGGAGTTGGCCAGGCCCGCTGTGGCGCTCGAGCACCCACATGTTATGGAGGCTGCGGGAGTTGGCCGGGGCAGCTGTGGCGCTCGAGCAACGACATGTTATGGGAGGGGTTCGGAGAGGTGGCCAGGCCCGCTGTGGCGCTCGAGCTCCCGACTTGTGCACCGCGGTCGTTTTCCCTCCTCCCTCCTCCCTCATCCGCCTCTTCCGTCCTCCCTCCTCGTTCTCTTCCCTCCTCGTCCTCCTCCCTCCTCCTTCCTCCCTCCTCCTCCTCCTCCTCCTCGTCCATCCTACCTCTTCCTCCTCCCGCCCTCCTTATGCCTCCCTCCCCCATCACTCGTCCTCCTCCTCTTCCCTCCGCCCTCCTCCTCTCCCGCCTCCCTTCCACTTCCCCTCTCCCTCCTCTTCCTCCCTCCTCCGCTCTCCTCCTACCCTCCTCCTGACTCTTCGTTCGCCCTCCTCCTCTTTCTCGTCTCTCCTCTTCTTCCTCGTCGTCGTCCTCTCCCTCCTCTCCGTCCTTCCTCCCTCATCTTCCTCTTCGCCCGCCCCTGGTTTGTGCTTCCCTACTCGTCCCCGTGTGGTGTTGTGTCTCTCGGTAGGGGAACCCCTCCCCCGTAGAATCATAGCTTGGGCTGCAGGTCCAAGGCTCTGTGGATCCATTTCCCCGTGGGCCCCTTGTATTAATTATTACCTTACATTTATTCCAGCAGAAGAATTGGATCCACGAAGCTCCCACGCCCAAAATTCGATCCAGAAGACACGGAAATTGGATCCACGTGACTCTCGCACACACGTAATTGGATCCAAATGGATCCATGCGTTCCCATGCAAGAGGAAACAACTTTCGGCCTGGGGATGTAGTTTTCTAACTTTGCTCTACACTTTGTTTCCTCGTGCCCACAGGAGTGCTTCTAAATATTTCGTCTAATCGCAAGTTGTGGCAACCCCTTCAGTGGCCCCTCAGTTATTCTTGTATGAGCCTAGGCACGCCCGTTCCACCTTGCACATGTCCAGGGCACGTCCAGAGGTCGCCGGGCGCCATGTTGCCTAGGGCGGGTCGGGGCAGAACCGATCGAGGATCGGGGATCTTCGAGACTCAGCATCGTCAGACCTATTCCCATCCCCAGCAAGCCAGGGTTCGTCAGCGGCACCAGCCTACCACCTCGAGTTGAGGATGCATGCCGACGGAGCTGGCACCTGATCCCACCTAGGGGATTCGACCAGACATCGGGGCCAAGGCTTTACCAGTGGGGATGGGAACAGGTCTAACGATACTTGGCGGTGGTCGTCGTCCTCGAGTCGGGCCTCCAGATGGCCTTCGGGGCCCGCTGGGCTCCGCGCTGCCCAGGGCAGGCCGGGCCCACGGAGCCGAGAGGCGCGCAGGTCGAGGTGTTTGGGATGTCTCCGGCTCTCGCTCGGACCGGGCGGCCGGCGGTTCTTGGCCGAAGCTGAGCGCGCGGTTGGCTCCCGGGAGCGCCTGCCCCACTTGCCGTCGGGGCCGCCGCGGTCGTCGTCGCCGAAGGAGGAGGAGGAGGAGGAGGAGGAGGAGGAGGAAGAAGGAGGACCAGTATAAATCCAAGACTCATCAACGATGTTGGAATACGCCTTGCCTCCAAGCTCCCTCTACCTGGGCCCCATACGCGGGTTCATGTCCACTGAGAGAAGTGTTCCGTTGGGGGACAGACATGCGAAAATCTTGAAGCGTGCCAAAAGCAACATTCGTGGGACGTCAACGTCACGAGTTAACCTGATTGTTTCGTCTTGACGATCCTGAATCGCGCCAGAACGCCATTCCTGGGACTTCAACACCGCGAATCAGCGTAACCGTTGCGCCCTGACAACCCAGACTCGTTCCAAACACCATTTCTGGTACGTCAGCCACGAGAACCAGCGAAACTTGTGCAATTTCTTCAAACGAAGGTGCGCGGCGCTAAGGCGAGAGCCACAGTTTGACAAGGAACCGCCTTTCTGTCCGTGAATTTCCGCACGAATTCTTTAAACGAATGCTCGCGGCGCTAAGGCGAGAGCATGCGAGAACCACATAGTGAGAAATCGCTTTCAATCCGTGCAAGTTCTGTACACTCTTAAACCGAATGTGCGCGGCGCTAAGGCGAGAGCCACATTTTGAAAACGACCCACCATCAGTACGCGAAGTTCTTACGAATTCTTTAAACGAATGCGCGCGGCGCTGAGGCGAGAGCCACATAGTGAGGAATCGCTTTCAATTCGTGCCAGTTCTGAAAATTCTTAAACCGAATGTGCGCGGCGCTAGGGCGAGAGCCACATGTTGAAAACGACCCGCCATCAGTACGCGAAGTTCTTGCGAATTCTTTAAACGAATGCGCGCGGCGCTGAGGCGAGAGCCACATAGTGAGGAAACGCCTTCAAGTCGTGCAAGTTCTGCAAATTCTTAAACCGAATGTGCGCGGCGCTAAGGCGAGAGCCACATTTTGAAAAGGAACCGCCCTCAATCCGTGAAACTCTTGCAACATTGTGAAATGAATGCGCGCGGCGGTAAGGCGAGAGCCACATTTGGAAAACCACCCGCCCTGAATCCGTGGAGCTGTTGCAAATGTGTAAAGCGAATGTGCGCAGCGCTAAGAGGAGAGCCACGTTTTGGAAGCGGCCCGCCCTCCGTTTGTGAAGCAGTTGTCAATTTTAAACATCAGGATCGTAAGTGGTGAGGAACTATCGGGCGAAACGCCTTTCCCGCTCTTTCGACCAGCCTCGGGGTGCGACAGGGAGGAGGCATCTATAAGGAAAAGGAGTGCAGGAGGAGGAGGCGGAGAAGGAGGCAGGAGGAGAGGGAGGAGTAGGCAGAGGAGGAGGATGAGGAGGAGAAGGAGGAGAAGGAGGAGGAGGAGGAGGAGGTCGAGGCCCCGGTCTTTTCAATCTGGGCGTTTCTCTTCAATCACAAAGGTCTTCAGGGGCCGCCTCAGCGTGCCCTGCAGGGCCGCTAGAAACGCTCTGGGGCCGAGAGCTTTGGGGCCCATGGACTTGCAAACCGAATCACGACGTCTCCTTCTCCTCCTGTTCCTGTTCCTGTTCCTGTTGCTCCTCCTCCTCCTCCTCCTCCTCCTCATATTCTGCCTCTTCCTCCTCGTATTCTGCCTCCTCCTCCTCCTCCTCCTCCTCCTCCTCCTTGTCTTCGTCCTCCTCCTCCTCCTCCTCCTCCTCCTCCTCCTCCTCCTCCTCCTCCTCCTCCCCCTCCTCATCTTTCCTCTCCTCGTCCGGGAGGGCTCCGCCCTCCCAGCCTAGGATCGGCCTGGCAAGTGTCGGTGTCTGCGTCTCTGTGTTGTTCGCGTTCTCCCACAACTATGTCTGCACCAAGGGCGCCTTATCTGGGATTCCCACTGGTCCGTTTCGAATGTTGGGTGCGCCAGCCTCGCCCATCGGGCCCCGGCCGGAGGGTCGCAGTCCACCAGTAGTCTTGTCTCGCCCGTCAGGTCTTGGCAGCAGGGCCATGGCATGAGCGTTGGGCTTTCTGATCGCCAGTGGGGCCCCGCCAGTGGAGTCCTAGCCATAAAGTAGGGCCCAGGCGTGGTTCAACGTACAGTCACTGCTGAGCTCAGCCCGCCAGTGTCGTAACCATTCTCTGCGGAGGAAAAAGGAGGAGGACGAGCATTGTGGACACGCTCCTTGGCCCCAGGTGGTGATGTCCGAGCTCGACCCCGCAGAGCAGGAGCGCATGCTGGACATCCTGGTCGCCACCAACGTGCACTTCGTCCAGGCGCCGGACGGCAACAGCTTCTCGGCCAAGATCCGCACCGTGCGCGACCACAACGCGAAGCGCAGGGTCTCGCCCGGCTCGCCGCGTTTCTCCACGTCGCCGTCGGCCCGGGGCCCCGGCTCGCCGAGGCAGACGAGCCACAAATTGGGGGAGTGGTGGTCGGCGGTTCAAGGATGGGGCTCTCAGGGATGGGGCCCCAAGGGTAAGAAATGAAGCAGTCAAGGTTCAGATTCTGATTCGCTTCCTACCCTCAGGGCCACATCCCACAGGACCCCGCATCTTTGCACCGACGATGTGGTCCTTACTCCCCTGAGGGACCCATCGGTCGGCTTCGACACCTCTTCTCAAGAGATTGTCGATACGATGGGGTCCGCCAGGGGGGGTAAGTCGAGGAACAATGAATATCATAAACATAGGCATTCGGGGGTCCGCACTGACTTCTTGGGTCGGCGCCGACCCCCTCCCTGTCGCGCGGAGCGCGCCAGGCGCGGCTCCGGAGGCGCCGCCAGGAGGCTCCAGCGCCGATCCAGGAAATCCTCGCGGACCTCCGAAAGTGCATGGTTGTGCCACGCCTTGCTCCTCGACTGAGGATCGCAGCTCCTCCGATTGTGGCTGGTCGCTGAGGGCGCTGGTGTGGCCGACCTCGGCGCCGCGGTCGCCGCGGGACTCGGGGAGCCAGCTCGCCCTCGCCGACGCGGCGGTGAGGTCGCCCCGCGTGCAGCAGCTCGCGATCGCCGGCCGCGGGCCCGCTCTGTCGGACCCCGCCGCCGCGGACGGCGCCGCGGGTTGGAGGCAGGAGCCATTCCGACTCTGCCGATTCTAATCGATCAGATTTCGAGGATGTCGTTCCTCTTACCTGCGAGTGGTGCTGACGTAGCGCAGGCGTTCCGAGGCAGCGATCGCGCTTGGAAAAAAAAAAAAAAAAAAAAGATTTCGAGGATGTCGATTCGATTCGAGGATTTCGATTCGATTCGACTCCGGATTCCGACGTCGGCGTGGGTTTCCTATGGTGTCTCGGTGCAGGCCTCGGCTCGGACCGCCGGGCGTCGGCTTCGATGTCTTCCAATCTTCAGGAGGAAAAGAAACACACAGACACAATTAATCCTCGATTCCCCAGAAAATATGGGAAAATATGGGAAGTGGTTGGGAAGACAGAAACCCAGAAAATATAGGAAAATATGGGGAATATTTTTATTTGTGTGTATTTATTTGTGTGTCCTGGGGCCCCTTCAAATCTGCCTGCCGACTCCTGCCGATTCGACGTACTTCGATTACCGATTCGATTGTGAAGGCCTTACGGCTGGTGCCGCCGACCCTGGAAGAAGGCCCCCATGATGAAGGTGACAGCTGGAGGTGTTCGGGAAGGTTGGGACCAGACGTCGCGGAGAGTTCTCCTAAAGCTCCGTGAGGTTCGCAAGAAGCGTATGACGAAGAGCACCGCTCGGCCAAGCTATCTGCCTATGTGCTCTCGAAGCCGCTGGGAGAGGAGAGGGGGGAACCAGGAGTGGGAGTAGGAGGAGGAGGAGGCGGTGGAGGCGGTGGAGGCGGAGGAGTAGGAGGAGGAGGAGGAGGAGGAGGAGGAGGAGGAGGAGGAGAACGAGGAGGACAACAAGGAGGAAGAAGAGGAGAAGCAGGAGGAGGAGCAGGATGAGGAGAAGGAGGAGGAGAAAAAAACCTCGTGGGAGCCTTTTCGAGGCTCTGGCAGTCTCCTCGGGCTTCATGGCGGCCTCTTGCCGCCATCTGGGACCGTCTTGGAGGTCGGGGCCATCTAAGGTCAGACGGGGTCACCATCGCCGTCTTTGAGGGCATCTTTGATCGTCTTGGCGGCAATGCAGTGCCATCCTGACCATCTGGGAGGCGAGCCTGGTCGTCTCTTGGAGAATTCTGTGGGGGCCATTTGGGGGCTCTCTTGAAGCGTTTGGGCGATTTCGGGCCCCTCTTGGATTGTCTGGTGGCCCAAGGCCCATCCCGCCACCGCGCCTTGGTATGATACTGTTGGGGTTCTTCTGGGAACCCTCTTGGAGCTCTCTCTGGGCTCTCCTACAGGCTTCTCTCCAAGCTCTCTTAGAGTCCCGAGAGGCTTGAAGAGGGGCCCCAAGGCACCAAGAGGTTCTTAAAGGCTGAAATCGGCCACGCGCAAAGGGGGGTCAAGGGGAGGCGGGAAGGCTTCTTAGAAGTACCCCTGCCTCTTAGAAGGCGCGGGCCATCTCTGTAGTTGTGAGGCCCGCGCCTTCTAAGAAGCAGCCTCCTTCGAAGGAGCCTTCCCCCCTGCCCCTGCCCCCTTATGCGCGCCGCCAATTAAGAGAGCCCCATGAGGGCCCCCGCATCAGCCCGCAATAGTGTTACACCAAAGGTTCCTGGTATGATACTGCTGAGGGTTTTCTTCGACGTGCTTCGATTGCCGATTCGATTTTCCGATTCGGTA